ACGCATGTGCATGACTGGCCATAATAACAATAAGCGTATTAAAGCGGCCCATTGGTCATACGTCTATCAAATCTTAAGGTCTCTTCAGTTAGTTGGAATCTCTGGGTCCACAGATCCGACAAAGAAACGGATTACCTCATCTACAAGAGGGGTGCAAAATATGCCTGTCGAAAGTATCGATGTAGAAAGTATCTCTGTAGTTAACAAGGACAAAAACAAAACAACATCTCTTTTTCTTTCAAGGCAGTCCTAACAGTTTGCTTGAGATTTACAGCAGCAAGACTGCCACGGACAGCGTTCTAAGGCCACGAAAGACAACTGCGTTTCGATAACAGACAGTTAAAGGTATTCTGTTGACTCTGTTAAGTTTAATCCCCGTTTGTCTGTTACTGCTAAGGTTCATCAGATTAATTCAAGTGGTGAAGGGAAGAAAGCCAATGTACAACAGTAATCTTTGTGAGGACGAATCAAAACATATGTGTACTCTGTCCTCTTCCATTCAGCAAACAAAATACAAACATCAGGAACAATCGGCAGAAAGAACGCATTTGCGCAAAGCTTTCAGCGATCGAGGGGGTTTCCATGGAAACACATTGCTCCTTCTTTTCAATGCAATCTGATTCTATTTTTCACAAATAGCAATTGCAATTATCATTAGTCATTGCAAATTGACGGAGGTTCTTCTACATAGATTCATTAAAGTTTGTCCGGCACTGCTAAAAAAAAATGGGCAGTCGTTTCTGTCGGTAACTTGATTGAGACTGTTGTAGTGGCTCTGGGTAGGGATCGTAGATGGCGCTATGCAACATGGACACGCAAAGCATCGAATCATATTTATCTCATACGTGTGTCAGTTAAGGGCATTTGCCATGTGTAGACTACTAGCCTCCTACCTTTCCCCAGCATCTCGACTTTGTCTTCGTCTACGGTTTCGGCTCATGGTATTACTGCATGGTTGATCATGTATCATTCAGGATTGAAAATGATGGGCCAAAGAAAGTAATATATGACAAACAACCTCAAGTCGAATGTCAGAAATCATTTCTATATTCACTGTTGTTTCTTAAAAATTAACCACATTAAAACTCGTTATAAAACCTGTAATGAATAAACACCTTGAACTCTGTCATATTTTTAAACTGTTTCCTTCGAGGAAATATTCTTTTTTCAAAACGCAGCCACACATTCGGAAAATGGAGCTGGTTTAGATTTTAGGGTATCGAATCTGAGGATTAAATTAATAAAATGAAGCCTAAAGGTCAAGACGGAGGTGCCACAGAAATTTGGGAAAACTGTAACTGTACGCAAACAACCTGTGTCTACAATTTATCGCCTAGGGATTACGTGTTCATTTTTGTTTTACACAAGAGAAGCGACAGATTTGTCTCCTTGTCCTTTGGTGAATCTTGTTCTTAATTCCGTCCTATGTGTGGTATCAAGTACCTGGGCTTTATCCATAGGAGAAGTTATTGCATTTCTGTAAAAACAGGAAACAAATCACTTTGCTTCTTGTCCTTGTATGCTCTACTATATTAAACTAATTCAGCAAAGTGTCTATAATTTCCAAGAATGTGGAGTAAAAAGTTAATGCACATTCATAAAAAAGTTACAGGTGAAAATTGACTTGATTGGCACATAAATCGCAGTTGAGGCATTTAAATATTCCAGTGTCAAGCACATTTATATGTTAATAACGTAGGCCTGTTCTTCTTATTATTTAATAAGGGTGAATTTTAATGAGTACGTCGTCGGAGTTTGACAGGTACCAAGCATTTGTCAGAAGTGGCTCTGACTTCATCATCATTCTTATATTTCTTTGTGTTTTTGTTTTCACAAATTTGCATTTAGCCAATGTGGTAAGCATATTATTCCAAGGTTGTAAACGTGGTCTTCATTTGAAGAGACAGTGATCTGTGCTTCACAATTAGCCAATCTCCAAACTTGCTTAGTGTTGTAAAAGGTCCCCAACTCCATACGGTCATATCGGTAGTATTTGATAACTTGAATCTAGCATATTTCCGTCGTCAACATATATATAAATCCATTTGGACTTGTCAGGCGATGAAGACGGTGCATGCGCCCTACGATCCACTGATGATGCCGGCTGCATGTGCGTTACTTGATATGCATGCACCGTGCATGTGAATGAAAACATCTGAAGAGTTGTTGTCTTGGGTCAGAAGTGAAGCTTTATGCAAATGTCATGGTTAATCAACACTGGACAATGGATGGAATTCACCTCACAGCTCAAAGCAGTAGTGAAACCCTTTTGTTCTCTTGTGCAATGGACCATAGTGGAAGGAGGAACATGGTTCAAGTCGGAGAAACAACTCAAAAGATGGGCATTCTTTAATTTGAATGGAATTTGACGCTTTGCGTCCTCACCCATTCGCCCATGTGCATGTCATTATAAGAAAGCAAAAACAGCAAAACAACATACACCAAACCCAAAATCTATTGCCGCGAAGCCTTTCAGCCTGTGATCGTGTTAAAAAGCTTCCTTGCAGCATAAGTTTTGTGGATTCAATTTAATGGCTACTTGGTCCACTTAATTTCCAACGGTACCTCTATAAAAGAAAAAAAAACTCTTCCAAGAATGAGACATTTTACGTTATTTATAAGGAAAGTATCAAAGCCGATGCGCGTTCTTCACTAAATGAGCCGAAAATGCAATTTTCCATCAATGTAATTCGAGACAAGCCCAGGTCCTGTCGGTAAACTGATTGAAATGGCATCCAAAACATCTCCAGCGTCCGGCTCACACAAAGGCACCTTGTAATTCTGTACGGTAATTTTCATTAATCTTCATCGCTAAGCAGATGCAATCCCTTTCAACCATGTAAATTTCCCCCCTGGGTGATCTACTCCAGGAAGCGAGAAATACTGCTCCAGTTTCAAATTTGAGCCTCCCATGCTGTAATTATACAGGTTAACCTGTCAACTCAAAAACAATCTGCGATCAGTAATGTATAAGGATGCCTCCCTACTAAAATTAATTCTGAACCCCCAAGGAATAACTCTGAATCCGAGCATCACGTGCATTCGTTTTGATGCATGTTTAATCTCGGGGTCAAGACCTATTATACTTTTTTATGTCAGCGCTGTTTGGTATTCCGAACTTTGGAGGCGTGCACCAGGCGGTCGGCCGTCCATTTCTACTTTTCGTGGTCAGGTAAATGTACTTTTGCACGGTCCTCATGGTAGGACTTTGGCTTGACAATGACCCACATATACCTATACGGATGCATGCTTTGTGAACAGAAGCAGGAACTTCAACTCACTCTTCCGCTTTTCTTTCTGGCAAAAATATTGACGACAGCTAGAGGTGCATGACTAAAGATGTTTCCAATTGTATACTTACAACAGAAATTGTTTTAAACTTCAGGGCACTTTGTTCATGTGTAGGGGAGGTAAAGGAACATATGCTAGCCATAGTCAACATTTCACTCCAACTCAATAATCTCTGGCTGATTTACGTTTTGTCTCTAAAATATCATATGGCGAGGCGAGTGGTTGGGGATGGAGCCACACTGACCTGGTGAACTTGACATCCAAGCCAACCTTTACGAATACTGAAATTTGGACATAACTGTTGGTGCACAATATATGACATCAGCTTAAATTTACCACACTGAAACTGTGCTAAACATTGTATTTAGATTTCTCAATGAACGATTTCCAGTGTTTCAACAATGCCCTCGCAGCTTCCCGCCCTCTGGGTTAATTGATTAATTTTGCTAAACCACAGGAAACTGCCTTATGGGCGCGATGTGTTCACGAAGACAGCAAATGACCATAGCTTGAGGCTTGCTTGACAATAGACACAATTAGATAAGAACCCTATTGTGACTGTACTGTCAGTGACACTGAAGGCAGCCAGACATCGAGGGAATATCCTGCAATAATCCATTATTAATTTCGGTCAGTTCAATTACGTCGACCATCCTGCCTCTTTTGTACCGGGAGTTTTCCTTGATCTTGCCTCACGAGAGATTTTGCACTCCCCTCTACTTTCATCAGTCCGAGTCCCGAGAGATCTGCTCTAATTTCCCGTGCCTGTCCTTATAATCTCTTACTCTGCAGTTGTTACTTTTGCAAGCTTGCATATAGGTCAGTAATAATAGGAATCTCAGCTTGGGAAATCGAGCTGGTCACATGTATTATCATCATTGTCACCATTGCTGATTTGAAGTGGGACAAGCAGGTATGACACATGACAAGTCTTGCTGCCAAACATTTGTGCGTACTTTGTATCTGGAAAAAATTCCATGCCCCGACTCATGACCTTTTGACCATTGTATCTTATGTACATGAGACCTTTACTCGAGCATGCCTCACCATCCTGGTCATCTGCTCTTACAATTCAACAATCTGACCAAATTGAACGTAATATATAAAGACGTGCATGTCGAATTATTTTAGGTTACAATAATTACTTCGAATACTCACTTGCCCTTGAATTACTTAACATACCATCATTAATACAACGGCGAAATCAAATATTAGAAAAATTTGAAAAAATGCTAGAATCTTAGTGCACTCAAGACTTGGATCTTTACTCCCTCCACTTTGTAGTTCCTTACCAAATTTTCTGCCCTCAATCGTGGTCTCTTTAACCCAATTTGCCGTACTGCCAGAAACGAAAAGTCGGCAGTCCCCCAAATGGTAAAAATAGTTAATGTCATTAATCTTTCCTAGTAATTTTTATCCTTTTATCCTTGACAATTTAACTTGCTCGTCCTAAGTGCAATACATGTGTTTTTTGTTGGTGTCGGCGTCATTGTTTTCGTGGATGTCGTACTTGGTTTATTTGGAAATTTGTAATAGTTTTTGAATGAATTTTAATTATTGATGATTTTAATGGTTTCATATTTGTAAATCAATCATTATGAGTCCTACGACTCTCTAAATTGATATCGTTTTAAAACCAAAATAAATAAAAATTAAAAAAATAAAAATAAATTGTAACACACCTAATCGCAGGCTAGTACGCAGTTTTTAATCAGGTTAGTTTTCGAGCAGGTTTTCTAGTCTACATTAATTGCAAAGCCTTGGTGGATATCCTCTTTTCATAATACTCGAACATCAATGTAACAGGAAAAGTAACAAATCTGTCACGGGAATGGTTTCCGTCTCAACGATCAATCAATTTATTTTTTTACATAAACACGCACTAAACGACAGTCAAGCGAGACTGTAAGAAGAAAATAAAAGCAAATGCACAGAGATTCAGTTCCATTTACTATAGAATTGAAGCAAGTTCTTTGTGTATAGGTCTAAAGTTATTATGACTTCCTAATTAAGATATTTTTTAATTTATCCCTCTATTATAGGTGCCAAACAGTGTCATATCTATATTTCTCATGTATTCATAAATATGCCAAAATATTATTTAAAGCAGTAGAGGCGTACCATAGGCTTCAGTCTTTTCATATCGGCAAAGGTATCAAGAAGGTCGTAATGAAACATACCACAGACAGTATCGATATCTTTTTCTCAAATTGGGTTTAAAGTTTACAACATTTGAATTCACAGTGTATTTTGGAGCAGTTCGCCTTTTAGAATGATAAAGCTAATAAAGTTCATGTATACAACACAACAGAGTTTATTAGAACGTTATTGTCGATTGAGCCTATGACCTTCCAATTGTTTCCCCATGGTGATTTCTACTATCAACATTCAAAAGAAGTAATCTTGCTTTCAAGTTCAATATGGCCGATTCCATGAAAAAAGTCTTTATTGGTTGTCATGTAGTTAGTTTTAGCTGCGGTACAAATAAAATTCTTTTCCTGAGAAATAGCCTTTTCCGCTAATTTTTGGAACTTCCAACTTCTTCGGACTTTAAATAAATCGCTTGATTTCATGTGGTGCCGGCAAATTTAACTATAGTCATGCCATTTATAGTTTAAACAACTGCGTTCATTGTACTGCAGTGTGTGCGAATTCTCCTAGAAAAGTCGGACAAAAGCCAAAGCATGCGTCAAGTAAAGCCACCGCAGTAGCGAAGATATATGCGGAGTTACGCTGTAAGATGAGCCCCGGAGTCGTCTGGTTTTCACATACAAAGCACACGAGATTTACAAATAAGAAGTGCATTGTGAGAGTGTTAAAACTACCAGTATTTTTCCATTGATGTAGTCTAATTGCTTAATTTGTAATAGTTATGGGTTCCTTTTTTAAAAGACGTGTGCATCTTTTTCATTCGGCACAACTTATTATCAAATAGCATCCCCATATTTTAAATTGCACAGTTGTTGGGCAGGATGGCACAATATTTTTAAATTTCTACCTACTTGAACAACATTTTAGTGGAAAATTCCTTCAGATTATAAAAAAGCCCTGTCACATCTACAAACTACAGTGACCAACAATTTGTGAGAAAACTACATTTGAAAGGGTGTGCATATTTAATGGGTCATATTTCGGGAGTGCCAGTATAAAAATTCATATTCTCCAACCTCAAAAAAAAAAATCATTGAAAATGTATTGACTCTCAGAGATGACCCACAAAAGTCACTTTTTAGAGGGAATTCAGGGATCCGTACATCGGCCTACCAGAGTTGTGACGGTTTCCTGTCTTAGCGCCCTCACGTGATCGACAATTTTGCAGACGCAAGCACCGCACCCTTGATTGGAACGGTAATTCATGAGTGAAGTCTGTTTCTCCGTTGCGGATCGATATCTTTGAGGCTCGTGCTATCGTTCATAAATTGCGAGAGACGTTACAGAAACTATTTTGCATTTTGCAATGACGACAGAGGCAATTGCACCCAAAAGCGATGTCGACCACATAGAGGTTTCAACTTTGATTTTTACCACTCGTGCTTCAAGATAAACAAGATTAGTGACCGATGGCAGACTGAACTGCTATGATGTCATAATGCAAACAATCATTTTAACAGTACTGAAAAAATACAAATTCTGAGTTAGCAATATGCCATGACGCTATGCCAATATGCACTTGGGTTAGTACACGTTTGAGAGAGGAGCCAGCGTCCCACTTCAAGAAAGCCTCCTCTTGTCCTCCTTTACCAACCCTGACCACACCCTCTTTGAACTCGATCCAAAAGAAGCGGTATTCATCACCACTGACGATGCCTGTCTCAACGTGTTGAACCTGCACGACTTTACACCTGCCCCCACCTGTTTCTGACTGGCACGGTCTGATGACTGATTTGGTATTCCCCCATCCACCAATATCTACAGACACATGAAATCATAGAACTAGCCAATTCAGCATCCTGGGTATACAAATCCAACTGAAGCCTTTTGGAAAGTTTTTTAGATAAAATGAAATGGGCATTCTTCATTTGTAGCCAAAGCTAAGAGGTAATTGTCTGTTGCCAATATTTTAAATATTGTATATACCTACGCTAATGTTATTATCTGATTATGCAAGGCGTATGTAAAGTTGCCATTGAAGCTATGGTCGTTTAGATTCGATGTGAATTGATTCAAATCACAATTTGTGATTATATTGGTCATCAATGCAATCATCAATCACTCACTGATCTCGGCAAAGATAAAGTTTTCTGTCATGCCTTCCGAAAGGGCTACAAGCGGCTCACGTGCAGATTTCAGTTTGAAATTCAAACGAAAAGGCATCGTCAAAGGTTGCAGGATGAACGTGAAACGGTGAGGCTTGGAGGCTGGAGCAATAAACGAGCAAGCTAGAGAGGAAACGAACGAAAAACAATATTGGACCGAGATGGAACAACACATTATTAGCAAGCCATTTTTGAAAATAGGCCTATGGGGGATGGGGTCATCTTCCTGGAGGGAACAATCATTTTTCCAAAATCTGATGCTGGCCTTAGTATGCTCTCTCTGTAACTGCACCCACACAATTAATAATTGTTAATGCTTTCCTGGACAATTGAGGGCGCTATTCATGTGATACCATACGTGGACATAGACATAATCCGCTGCATAGGTTTTTTTTGTTTAAATTGTGAACCCTGAATTAACTTAATGAAAACATTTTGGAGAAAGAGATTAATTTTTGCTTATTGCTGTGCACATAAACAATTATGCATCAGCAATTAAGAGTAAATCTAGTTTACCAAAATCTAAAAAATGCAGGACTTTTTGTGTACAGACCAATGTAACATTGATGATTCCTGCCTGGATGACATCACAGCTTTGCTCATGAGAAATGGAAATTCTCATTAGCATAAACATGACAAAAAGGCAATAAAAACAATATTCGAAAATAATGTCAACCAGCACACGAAGGTGTATTTTGCTTCAATTGTTAGTGTGTTAATTTTGATTGTATTAAAACAAATTAACTGCAGTTTACCCTTCAAGACTACTTCAGACACTCCACGTTTATGTGTATCATCCGTTGGCATGACACATGAAAGTCATCTTGAAGATGAACACGAAAGATGAACACGGTTCGATATTCAGCAGAACAGCCAGTCTTCCATTTGAAAAGATTTGCCTTAATTCACAGTTTGCTGCGCCATTGATTTTATTACACCTGAACTGGTTCAAGAACGTGGTTCAATCTTCGTCGCAACACCCGTGCATTTTGGACGCATTTAATTTCCTGGTATTTCTTTTCTTTCATGGACCTTCGTACATGGACCTTCTATCATGCATGAATTACCGTGCAGGAAGCTTGTCCGTTTGGCTCTACTTAATTAAAATTTTAAATTAAATAAGTGTTGTTTCGCATTCTGTTGCCAGGATGGCCTCATGAGTTGTTGATTAACTGTTATCTTTTTATAACATATATAGGCTAGGTGACAAACAATATGGTAAACGACAGTTAATTACTAAAACACATAGTAATCATTTTTCAGAAAACGTTGGTTGAAACCCCGATACATACAAATGATTAATGCGTCCCAACAAACCGCAATTACGAACTGATGAAAATGACAGCCCAAAATGAATGAAATGTGTCAAGGACAAGTTTATAGAGACGATTTTGGAGTCGTTTTGGGGCCGGCTTCTAAACTGCGATCGAAGTAGTTTCAAATAAACACAGTGACAGGATAGAAAGCTATTGAAGTTTTAATAATACCGTTTCTAAATGCCACCCAAAGTTTTAAGGCAAAAACTGGGGGAAAATTATAGAGAGCCCAACGAAGATACAAGTTTCTTTCAAGTACCCCATCGTTCATTAGCAGAGGAATAGTAGCAAAGAAATACTTTTGTCCAAAATAGTTTGAATAGCTTTTGACTTTGCGGTAAAGTAAATGACTTATCACTGTACAGCCTAAACCGATAAAAGATCAACTTGTTTGTAGAACTGATAAATAACTTTTCTGTGGAATTTAGAGTTTTGCAGTTATTTTAATGTGGTTTGACTTTCATGTTGAAAATATATCACGTCACGGTGTGGTTTGATTGACTCTTCATATTGATTTTATTGAAAAGTCAAAAACCTTATGATTTCAACCAGACTGTCACCTAGTCTATACAAAATTGCGTGTGAGTTCACCCATGCATCCATTATTTCAAACGTGAAATCTTACAGCAATTCATCCAGTTCTGGACCTCCTCGAAGTCTTCGCTGTGAAGAAAGGTGTTAAGATATGTTGTCTTAAACGGTCTGACGGCTGATCGAGTAAACACCCCTCCCATCCAGACCTCGGTGCAAAGACATGGATTCTTAACAGGAATCATCCAACGATATCGATTAAGTGAGTTTGGGTCCGGCTCTTGTGTGATCGTGCAAACTGTTCCTGAAATTGTGATAAACGGTTGATATAAATTAATGAATAAAATTATACATTCCTGAATGTCAATTAAGCCTCTAACGAGATTTCAATTTTATGACTAAATTGGAAATATTGCTTATGTTGACGTGTTCTCCTCTCCAAATTCGCGTTATTTATACAATACGAAGAGGAATGACATAATTATTGGCATTCAAATTCGCATTCGCGCTTAATGCAAAGACGAACAAAGAGTGCAAACCCTACATAATGATTCGCTTCAATACAATTTAATGACATCAATGTTTTATTTACTCTAGTCAGTACTGGCAAAGGTTGAAGAGGTTTTTTGTAAGCTGTAGAAAAAAAGTGGCAATGAAGATCAGAAGGCTAGAACGTATGACTTGTGCATTGCAGCCTACAACATGCATTGTATCCCTTTGTTGCCTATACGGCTTGTATCGTGTCTGCTTATTTGGGTGTCAGGGTGTTGGTTTGTCAGTTTGTCTGATTGGTTGTGAAATACGTAGATCAGGCTGCGCAGACGGTGGCTAAAATAACTCATGAAAGTTGAACAAAACCAAACATAATCTAGGTAGATTAAAAGACTTTATTGCGCAGTTTAGATTCTGCTCTGTCCTGTGCAGTATCTTGTTGTTCAGGGGAAACTGCTAGTATTCAGAATTTAGTGCAAACAAACGAGAGATCGGTCAAAAAGGGAGATGTTTTATTAGCTTAGCAACCATGTTAGGGCTAAGTATCCATTCATTTCTTTGTATGATTCTGTGGTTTTTATTTGGTTTCAGCTTTCCTGAGCACATACACAGACTTTCAATGGAATGTTTTGTGAATTTCGTCCCCACGAAGTCTTTAAAATTGAGTTCACTGCTTTGAGAAAAATCATGAAAAACGCTATTTATTTGTCACACAAAAAATATAGCGCAATTGGTATATAATAGCCATCCAAAAGTGCATTTTTGTTTTTGAGTAGTTCTAGCCGTCGGCAATTTTATCTTCAAATTGTGTCTCCTTCAACAATGCTTGGAGAATTTTTGTCGAATAAACGACACCTCGTCTTGCAGTGAAGTGACTACAGTCACCTCAGTGACTGTAAGTGATCGAAAACACGGTCATGGTTAGTCCCCTGTACGTCAGTTAGAAACCGTCCAGAAACCGTCAGTGCATGTCATTAACACATTGTAAATCAATAAATAGGGGTAACTATCCTGGTATTTTGGGCACGAAAGTTATCGTGTTATCGTGTTTGGAAAAACGGCGGGAACTTAAATTGCACTCTCGAAATTGCATATTTTGTTCAAGAAAACAGGCTTCGCCAGGGAGCTCGAAAAGGAGCAGCCATGCGGCACGTTGCTGCGCAATTTGAGCCATATCATTATCGTAAGGGGTAGTAATGAGATGATGATATATTCGCGTGAGGTAAACTCCTTTTCATAAAGAAACTTGGTTTTCAAACGAATCCAAATACCTGTAGCTTATTTATTACGGTTACCTATTTTGTCACTTAATTAATAGTGTGTTTTTACCCGTTAACCCTTCAATAAACACCAAGATTAAAAAAAAACGCATACCGGTCATCGTATGTTTGAATTTTTTTGTTTTTCGTTGAATTAAGTAGAACATTTTTGTAATCCTCGAGCTACTAATGTGCTTTAAGACTGCCAAGTCCCCAGAGCCCTGCGAGCGGCCACGCCCAAAGAATTACACCGAGTGTCCACGTGGATAAAAAAAATACATGTCTGTTGCTTAGTGCCCCGATGAACCTGTGCGACTGTTTTATGGTTGCTAATACACCCATGAGGTCCATCTACTATTCATTTGATGCTGTAAAAATACAGTAATACCAGTCACAACCCAAACTGTCGTGACCTTGCGGCACAATGTCATGTCTGTCAGCAAAGAGATCCACTTACTCCATGAGGTCATATTGGCAACCCTGGTAAAATTGGTCTTGCTACTCTGCAGTTGTTACAGCTAGGTTAAACCATGAATAATAAACATTATATTGACCCGCCGTTCATTGACGGGCATCAGGTGTCAGTTGGACATTCCCTTGCTGTGATTGGTCTTTTTCATGCAACTTGTATTTCCATCTCTATATAGCCGATTTTGTGGAGACGATCGGGCCTTTCTTTTACGTCAAGGATGTGATTTTTATGGAAATTTAGTGGGTTTTAGTTTTATGGGATTATTCAAAAGGAAAGTTTTGAAATAATATGTCCAGGATTGACATAAATTTTGGACTGATTATGGTGGAGTGGCAAAAGTGGACAACCATTTTTTTAATCTTCAGATATAAGATTTGCGATACAATCCACCATCCATGTATTTTACAGTACATGCATATGAGGACTGCTCTGGGCCGTCACTTGCAAGTTTGGCTATCCTTTTTGTGATTGGAATTATCGGCTGAATACGTGTTTTGGAATTTGTGGGATTTCAAAATTAATTCAGCAAGTTCAAGTTGCATTTTATTGTTTCCCATTTTACTTTCTCTATTTTCCCTTTTTGAAAATCTTGGTTCATTTGATTCTTTTGGAGCATCAAATAAAATTTGTTTGTGGGAATTTGAAGTTTTTAGTTGTCCACTTTTGACGCGCCACGAGAGTTGTTAAAATAAAATCCAAATTTCTGCTAGTGGAAAATTGCGTTTTTTGAAAATGCTATACACAAAGTCCAAAATCCCGAAAATCTACTAGCAGAAAATGAGAAAATGGGGTTGTCCACTTTTGACGCTCCATAGTTGACCAAGCATTCAGGCGCACGGACTCCTGAAATAGAGCCTGACGTTCGACAATTTTTGGGAAAATAATTCTTTATTGAAACCACCCCATGAAACACTCATGTTGGAATTTTACCTCTGTCTTTCTCAAGTAATATTTTGGAAAAGTCACATGGAGATGGGTAAAAAACAATTTTTTATCAACGTCCTTTCACGTCCGGCGATGTCATACCTAAGCCATACCTCCTTGTTCATGCACGTTTGTTACCGTGCTTTCTTGAAAACGAGATTGTGCAACCTTGCAAAGATTTACCTACCTGCAGTCGATGGGTTCCAGATTCCGTTGAGTTGACATTGCGCAGTTGTTGGCAGCAAAGGTTAGATAGCATTATTAGAATCGTTCGTAAAAGTAGAACATGCTTTATGTTACCAGCAGAAAACAAAAAAACCACCGCTACTGTTGAAACTTAAACATATATGTGCGAGGGGGTGCTGTTCAGCGTGCTACTGCGTGGGCGCCAGCTTTTTCGTGGCTGCCATTTTGTTAGGCATTCCTCTCCTTTCCTAGGGTAAAATAAATCAACTTTCTTTGTTAAAAGGGGGCCATCGTTGCCCGACTGGGTAAGTCCGTTTTCCTCGCTCTGATCAACATGGGTAATTTCGGAGATCAGAACAGTCCCAGGAAACTCATATTAAACAAGGAATTCATCCCGTGTATTCCGTTCATAAACCGATGAATGTATAGGTGTTGTCTGTATGTATTTACAGTCATAACTTTAAGAATTGGAGATCAGTTATGATAAATCATGTGACACCCATTCTTACTCCTAATGACTCGAACTTTATTTCCCACACTGGTAACATCCCGGCAGAACTATTCTGTTAGATGCTACTCAAAAGGTCAACCGTCATGAAGCTCAGTGCCAAAGGAAATAATTCTTCATTATTTCGGAAAAATTGCGTGACACAACAAAATTATTTCATCTAGGGCTATAGCTGAACGTGCAGAATGTAACAGTGTAATTTCCATGGGCTAAGAATTAATTTCTACATGTATCACAATGTCATCATGGAGGAAGGAATCCCAAGTACATCAAAATCATACATGCGTAGTGGAATTTGTTACAACAATAATGGGAACTGGTGTATGAAGTTTGATAATATTATTGTACATAGTCTAAATTATTATCAACATGGAGGGAAAAAAGAAGCATAGGCTTTTGGCTTTCCCTATTTACACGAACGATGGTTCAGACTGGACAAGAAACATAAGACAGGAGACATGAGACAACACAGTAGGATATACTGGCAGGATAGACTACAGTTAAAGACAGATGTGCTAGATGTTGAGACCAGACCTATAAAGAATGGAAGTAGATTGGCATGATTACATGATCTGATTTTCATTATTCAAACTAATAAGGTAGGTTTGGAAATAAATGCTACATCTGCTTCGGTAACATAAAGAGAGTGTTCAAATGAATGGCTTGATTGAGGAAGTTCACTTGCTTGCCAATGTTAATGAAATAATCATTGGAAGCGGTAGCAATATTAATGTATATCAATGTAAAAATCAATTCTAGCATCATTTTGCGTATAATAGGACGGATTTTGTTGAACGTTCGTTTTACCGAGCAACGAATTAATAAGCTCCCATGCATGTACCTTTAACATTATGTTTGTCTTTATTAAATTGTTCACCTAAGTAATTTTTCTTTGCTATTCTTATAACACATGTTAATTTGTTTTTAAACTTTATGTTGGCAGATATATTATGAAATGTACGATTCTGAAGATATTTTTATGCAGTTTTTTTTTCTCTGATTGAGTTATAGATCCCTTCCAGTCTCCAAGGTGATTTTGACTTTCAGACTTTCGGAGCTCACACTGTGGAAAATTTTTGTCATACACATTTAGAAATTTTCATTGGCCTCGTCGACATTATTTGGCGCAAGTTCATCTTAATCTTAGTTAATGCTTACAGACTACCGAAGAATTGTTCAGGTTTTTCTCTTTTTTCATTTGTAACAATACCAGGTTACAAAACATCTGAAGTTTCCTAGTATGTTCATTTTAATCCTCTCTAACTCACTCATCGGTTAAACGATGATGTCCAGAGATTGTATCGGCGATTGTGGTCCAAATGCTACGAATCAATCCTTTGTTTTCTCTAAACATCTGGGCGATAGTCTTTTAGGATCGACGAGATGGCTGAGATTAGACGCTCTCTTTGTTTACGCCTAACAACATGCCAATATGCTTATTTTATTTGTTATTTTCGACTTCA